CAAACACACATACTTATGCATGCATATGCGAGAATCATCGAAAGCTTTCCAACAGCTCACTGATTCACGCTTATTCATAAGTGGAAACGTGCGGAATAGCAACGAAGTGCAAGCTGAGCTTAAAAGTATGTTAATAGCAGCAGAAGCGGCAACGGCGGCAGAGAGCATTGTTCTAACTTGGTTCGACATTGAGCATTGATATTTAAGAGAGTATTTTTTTGGGCCTGTCTTAAGAGTATCGTTAATCCGTTGCACTAATTACTTGAATAGCCTCCCTTTTTTGTTTTTACTTCTTTTGACCCAATACCAAGAGGCTGCAAAGCGATTGCGACTCAACATGACGAGCCCGAAAAGAAACTGCGGATATTCATATTTTACATATGTACATATTTATGTATATTTTAACACATTCACATAAATTTATACATATGTACATGCATATGTATGTATGTATGTATGAATGACGCTGCCACAAAGTCAACACCAAAATGCCAACACCAACAATAAAAGAGAAAAACAACAACAGCAGAGCAAACTCCAAGCCGGCTTTAGCAAAAAAAAAATAAGAAAAGAAAACAACAACAAACGGGCGCAGGCGCGCAGAGAAACCACAACAAACGGCGCAGCCGCAACGCCGCAGCGCCATACATGCAAAAAGCGACGGGGGAGTGGAATGGGGAAGGAGAGCCAACGGCTTTGGCCCTGAGCCAATGCGAGCGTGACTCATGGGCAGCGCAATATGTTGCGACGACGTCGACGGCGGCGCCAACGGCTTGCCGGAGTGGCGCTCGCGTTACATAAGCCGAAGCCGAAGCCAAGAGACAAAAACCGAAGCCAAAGACGAAGCAACAACTTAAGATGAAGCTGACAACGCGTCGGCTTAAGCTTATGTTTGTTTGTTCTCACACCCGCTGACGCCCTCTCACTCGCTCTCGCACTCTCGCATAATTAAAAAGTAACGGCGCTTACAATGACAGCTGTACGCGCTCAATTAAAAAGTCATTAACTGCCACACACACTCGTGCACACAGAAAATGAGAGAGGGAGAGCCCGCTAAAGGCAGCTAGAGGTGGACACTGGACACGCATTAAGGACTAGCCGTGATTGACGCTGACACGCAAGGCCTCTGCCTCTGCCTCTACCCAGACGCAACACACACACTAACACGAACACGCACGCAAGCACCTTGTAATTAGAGTTGAGTTAGGCGGCGACGGCGGCGGCCCTACCTGCGCCTGCGCCAGCGCTCTCGCAACTGTTGCGTGTCATAAATGCGCCATAAAACTGCCTAGTCCCGCTGCACACTTGAGCCGGCTGCAGCGACTGCCGCATCAGCTGTCTAAGCGGGCTTAAGATCACCCACCCCATATGCTGCGCACGCAGCTTTTCGCTCTTCTTCTTTGCTGTTAGACGCTGTCGCGCTGTTATTGTAATTGCTCTTGTGCTGCTTCTTCTATCTTGCTGCTGCTCCTTGGCCTTGTCTTGCGCGCGGCTGCTTTGCTGTTCATTTATTTATATACAGTGAAGATTCGCTAAGAAACGCTTCAATTAATCGACTTGAATCTTTACACTTTATCGCTGCCATTTACCATTGTAATGTTTAAACAAAACATATTTCTATCCAATAAATGTATAAGTACGTAAAATTAAGCTACTTTTAGGCATTGTTTCAATTTGAAATGAACACTGGAAAGTCGCTTGAACATCCTTCGAGCCACAGCAGTTGCTCTTAGTCTCTGCCCACTGTACACGAAACACACGCAAGCAGAGATTTTCGAAGTTGCGGACCGTTTTGTTTTGTTTTTGGTCTTTTTTCGTTTTCTGTGCCCCTACTTTGGCTCTTCCTCTTCATCGTGCTTCGTCGTCTTCAGCGTCGTCTTCTTTATTGTTTTATTGTCAGTTTAGGGATTTGACAATTTGCTTGCTGATTTTTTATGACAATCATGTATGTAAATTTTCGGCGTGCCTTCTGCGCTCAACTCTTCCTCGTGGCCCCCGCAGCCCTAGATGTGCGCTTGTGTGCGTGCGTGTGCGTGTGTGTGTGTGTGTGCGTGTATCTGTATCTGAGCGCCATTAGCTGGCATTTGGCTTACGAGATTTTTAAATACTTTTGGGCATATTCAGGCGTCCCAGCCCAAAAAAAAAAGAAGTAAACCTTAAGCTCGAACCCGCACCCGCACACGCGCCCTCAACTCGAACCCGAACCCTTCGCACGGCTATTTTTAGTTTTTCGCTCTGGCTTTACGCTTGTATTATGTGTATATGTATGTATGTATATGTACATATACTTTTTATGCTGTGCATAAAAGTTGAGTTTATTAATTTTAAAGCGTTGACAAGTTTTACGAGAACAGAAACTAGGCTAGTAGTGTGAGGCGAACGTGTGCGATTCTACGGAGTCTGTGAGTCAAGCTGGCTAATAGAGCAGGAATGTGGCCCAATAAAACGGTGAAAATGGTGACCAATTCAATCGAAATCAGTTGAAAATGCCTGCCGAGCAGCTGTTTCAGGTTTGTTTTCCTCGCTTTGTAAAACTTTTCTTTTTGTTTCTCAGCATTTCTTCGTCAATGTGGCCCGAATCCGTGCATCAAATCACTTAACAATTGAAAAGCTATTCAAAACAAAGCCAAAACAATTTGTTTCATTTGGCTAGCTGTGTTATTAGCCGAGTTACATTGGGTTAGTTGTTCCAAGCCGGGTCTTGAAAACAGTTTTGGGGCCGCATCATCGCCAAGAAATGGCCAAATGGAGCTGAGTGCTTTTAGTTTTGCGTCTTTTCTTTTTATACGAAAAGCAAAATAAATAAATAATAAAAAGCAAATCAAATGCAAAATTACAAAATAAAATATAAAATAACAACAATGCAAAAACAGCCAGCGTTAGCAAACCAAAAACAAATGCAGCCCAAGAAAGAGACAGCAAAAGCGGTGACGGCGACGGCGACGGCGGCCGCGACAGCGACGCAAGCGAAAACACAAAACGCACGGCACATAAATGCTGTTGCTGTTGCTTCTGCTGCTGCTGCTCTGCTGTCGCCTTTGTTGTTGTAAATAGCACACACACACACACACACACACTCACAAACACACACGCACACAAGCCCAGCAGCGACAGCGACGCGGGCAGCGACCACTGCGCTGCTGCTTCTATGCGCGCATATGTGTGTGCGTAAGTGTTTGCTTCTGCCGCTGCTGCTTCGGCTGCGGCAGCGGCTGCGGCTGCTGCTGCCAGAATGCCGCATGCACGTCGGTCATTTGTATTTGGAAACACAATTCCGTTCCGTCATTTGTATTTGGAACGCCGTAGCAGAAAGAAGGACACGAGCGAATAAGCGACGAAGCGTGCGAACGGAGTGGAGCGGCTATTTTAGCTTTTAGCGCCCTTTTTTGTTTCATTTTCTTTGTACATGTAAAATATAAAAAATACAACATACGGCAAAAATCAACAACATTTTTGGCAACATTTTCGGCAAAATACCCAAAAACTATTTCGGACTTAAACACAAAAAAAAAAAAAAAAAAAAAAAAAACAAACGAAAATTTTAAAACTAAAAAACGAGAAAATTTTAAATGAAAAACACTAAACTAAAGTTTTAACAATTAATAACCGCGTTTTGTATTGTTTTCCATTGTGTTCGTAAACATTTTTTTCTGTTGTTACAAAACCGACTACAAAAAAAAAAACAAAAAACAAATCTAACAAAAAGTGATCTTGGTGTGAACATAATGTTAATGTAACCAAAAAGTATGAATATCCAAAAGCTAAAGGAAAACGCTCGAAAAAACTAACCGGCGAACAGCAGGCGAAAGCGAAACGAAATTGTTTTCGCGCTCGCAAAATCAAAATTCTAAATTCGAACACACGCAAAAAAAAAACACTTATCCCAACAATTCTTCGTTTCGGTTATTTTTTTTATGTTATTATTCTTCAGTTGTTTTGTGTTTCGGTGAAGTTGAAAAAGAAGAAGAAGAATAAGCAGACGAGAGAGCAGCAAGCCGCTAAACACAATAACTGCACAAAGCAAAGGCGCAGATAAGTAAGCAAAAGCAATAACAAGATCAACAGCGACGAAGATGGCGATGGACAGACATAATGTTGATGATCATTAACCACCACCATCATCATCATCATCATCGTCGTCGTCGTCGTTTTTGCCAATCAAATTCATAATTGTTATGTAGTTGTATATACACATATATACATATTTTTTTTCAAGTGTGTGTGTGCGTGCATGTGTGTGAATGCAAAACTATACGAACACTATGAACACAAAGAAATGTGAAAGCAACCGCTGCAAGAAGAGCAAACGCAGCCGCAGCTGCATTTCTAAGAGAGCGCAATGTTAACGCGAAAAAAATGTTAAATAACTCTCAGCACATGTAACTTTGGCATGCCTTGTATTTGTTTTTTTTTTTTTTTTTTTTTTTATGAACAGTGATAAGGAAAAGCTGCAGCTGCGACTGCGACTGCGTTGATTTCTGCTGCCGTTGATACTCTTAAGTGATCAGCATGCACGCGTTTTTTCTCTCTCTCTCTCTCGCCCGTGCACAAAACAAAGAGAGTGACCGTCTTTTTGTTTTGTGAACTAAAGAACATGCAAAAAATGCCAAGAGGCGTACCGTTAGCTGAGAGCGCAAGCAGTGTGTGTATGCGTGTGTGTGTGTGTGTTAGTTAATTAAACGTTTAAATTAATTGAAATGAGAATTAATAATAAAATTACATCAACATTTTTGCAGTACAAATACCAAATACATAAAAACAAAAGCAAAACTAAACCAAACGAACGGCAAACAAGCCAACGAAAAAAAAAATAACAACAAACAACAACAACAACAACAACAACAAAACAGCAACAACAACAAATAAAACAAGAGCAGCTGCAGCAGCAGCAACAAGAACAACAACAACAGCTAGCAACAATTAACAAGCGAGCCACATGAGCAGCAGCGCGACGCCAACGCCGACGCAGACGCCAACGCCGACGACTTATGTAGCGTTACATGGCGAGCATAAAAAGTGAAATGCCGCCACTGCACGCGGCAGAGGCGCTAGCCGCCAGCAGCAGCAGCAGCAGCGCAACGGATAGCGGCGGCGGCGGCGGCGGCAGCACAGCAGCAACAGCAGCAGCATCAGCAACAACAGCATCAGCAGCAACAACAGTTGCTGCTGCCGCAGCTGCTGGCTCTGGCGGCAGCGCGCCCGCAACGCCGAATGCCAATGCAACAATCAGCGCCGCTGCCGACTCCAGTGATAATCAGCCGGGCACGCCGCAGCCAACAACACAGCAGCAACAGCAACAGTCGCTAATGGCTGCCGAGGCACAGCAGCAACAGCAGCAACAACAACAACAGCAGCAGCAGCAGACGTCGGGCATAACGCATCAACCCTATGCGACCCATCACATGTACCCAGCGCAGCAGCAGCAGCCGCCGCCGCAGCAGCAGCAGGTCTATGGCAGCATCTATGCCAGCGACATGCAGCAGCAACAGCAGCAGCAGCAGCAGAGCTACGCCGCCAGCAGCTACATCAACAGCTACGAGCAATTCTATCAGCAACAACAGCAGCAGCAGCAGAGCGTTGTCGACTATGGCAGCGCGTACATTGACTACACGAAAGCCGTGCGCTATCATCCGTATTTGCAGCAGCCGACCTCCGTGCTGCCAGCATCGGCAGCAGCTGCCGCCACAGCAGCAACAGTTGCCGCCGTCGAGGATGCCGCCGCGGTGGCAGCAGCAGTGACAACAACTGCGGCAGCAGCGGGCGCTGCGATGAGTCCGCGCGTGGTCAGCAGCAGCAGCCCCACCTCCACCTCGTCGCATCTGCAGCTGAGCAGCGCCACGCCCAGTTCGCCAGGAGGCGGCTGCAAGCTGCAGTGCAAGAAATGCGGCATACTCAACACCAACGAGTCCGAGTTGCAGGAGCACATCGCCAATGTGCACGGCGAGTCGCCGTACGGCAGCAGTGGCTACGCCAGCTCGCCGTACATCAAGGAGGAGATGCCGATGCCGACGCCGACAGCGGTGGCAGCAGCAGCAGCTGCGGCGGCGGCGGCCAGCGGCGAGCTGCTCGACTTGGACTCCCAGAAGATGGTCTATCATCAGCAACTGTTGCAGCAGCAACAGCAGCAGCAACAACAACAGCAGCAACAGCTGCAGCAGCAGCAGCAACACGATGCCGTTGTCTCCGGGCTGCCGTTGGCTCTGCCAGATCCGCTGCACTCGATGCAGTCGATGCAGCAGCGCGCACTGCACAGCTGGGAGCAACAGGCGCCGCCAGCGGAGGCGGGCCTGCCCGCGTACATGCAGCCGCTGCTGGACAAGTCGCCGCATTATTACGGCTCGCCAAAGCAGTCGCCGTATCCGGCGACGGGCGGCATCAAGCAGGAATATGCGCTGATCAAATCCGAGTATGCCGACTCGCAGCACTATGTGGACAAATCGTTTGATCCGACCGCCGCGGAGGTGACCACCAGTCCCGCCGAGTTTCCCAGCACCACGACAGGCGGCGGCGGGCCACAGGATGGCGTCGGCGTTGGCAATGCGTCCGGCAATGCGGCGCCGCCTTATCGCGGCTTCGAGCCGCCCAGCTCCAGCTCGGTGCTGCCAGCCAACAGTCTGACCGCCAAGGCGGCCACCTGGAAGTCGAACGAGGCGCGTCGCCCGAAGACCTACAATTGCACCGCGTGCAACAAGTGGTTCACCAGCTCGGGCCATCTGAAGCGGCATTACAACACGACGCTGCACAAGAATGCGGTCAAGTCGAGTGGCCAGCCCGATCCGGCCACGCTGCCCATATCTGCTCATCATCATCCCGCACGCGATCCCGTCACGAAGACCAGTCGACGCGGCAATGCTGCCGCTGCAGCAGCAGCAGCAGCCGCAGCAGCAGCAGCAGCGGCTGCCACACAACAGGAGCCGCCAGCGCCGGAGCCGCCCAGAAGTCCGCCCGATTATGGGGGCGGCGGTGTTTGTGGTGCGACGGGCGTGCAGGTGGGCGCCGCCATGTCGCAGTACTCGGCCTCGCCGTCGCCCACCGCCCAGCAGCAGCAGCAGCATCAATTGGTTGCCAGCAATGGTTATGCCAGCAATGGGCATGGTCACGCCCACTATCATGGCCACTACAACATGCAGCAGCAGCAGCAACAAGTGCAATCGACGACAAACGCTTCACCACAGCATGCTAACAGCAGCAGCAGCAGCAGCAACAGCGGCAACAACAACAACAGCGGCAGCAGCAGCAACAACAATCACAACTCCGTTTTAAACGGTCACCCAAACGGGCTAGCAGGTCCCTCCGCCCCAATCAACAACAACAACAACAACAACACACAAATGCCGTCCTCCCAAATGAGGGGCCTGCTGAACAAAACAACAATCAACAACACAACAACAACATCAACAACAACAACAACAATAGCCACAGACACAACTATAAAGATCGAACAAATGGAGGACAGCAACTCAGCAATGGTCATGGAGGAGCAGCAACACCAGCTGGAGGAGGACCACCAGCAGCAGCAGCAACACGTGTTGCAGCAGCAACATCACCCACTGGAGCAGCAACAGGTCAGCTATCTGCTGTCGCGGCCATATCACAGCAGCAACAGCAGCAACAACAGCAGCAACAGCACCTCGCCGCTTACTATTTACCACCACCAGCACCAGCAACAGCTGCCGCTGCAGCAGCAGCAGCTGCAGCCGCCGCCGCTGCAGCAGCAGTTGGAGCTGGACCAGCAGCAGGAGCTGCTGCAGCAGCAACAGCAGCAGCAGCAGCACCACCACCACCACCAACTGTTGCAGGCAATGGATTTCTCGCGCACCCAGCCGCTGCTGCCGCCGCCGCCTATGGCAGCGCTGCTGCCGCCTATAACAATGGACTACAACATGCTGGCTTTGGATATGCAGCAGCAGCACAGCAATATGCTGCAGTGCAGCAGCATCAGCACGCAGCAGCAGCCGTCGCTGCCGGTCACTATTACCACCACGCACACGCCCACCCTCACGCACACGCCCATCCACACGCGCACGCCCACCACCACGCGCACGCCCACGCCCATGCACACGCACATCAATATGGACATGGGATGCACCACTATGCAGGCGCAGCATTACCTGGCACCACAGCCGCTGTCGCCGCCGCAGCAGCAGCAGCAGCAACTGTTGCTGGCGGACAACAACAGCAGCAGCAGTACGGCCAGCAGCCATACGCCCAACAGCATCAGCAGCAGCAGCAGCAACATCAGCAACAACATCATCAGCAGCTCAGCAGCAGCAACAGCGTCGCCTCCGCCGCCGCAGCAGCAGCAGCAGCAGCCGCCGCCGCCGCACATCATCACCAGCAGCAGCAGCAGCAGCAGCAACAACATCACCAGCAGCAACATCACCAGCAGCAACCACACCAACAGCAACAGCAGCAACATCTCCAGCAGCAGCAGCAGCAACAACAGCAGCAGCAACACCCTGCCATGCTATCAGCAACTGCCGCCGGTGCTGGAGCACACAATGAGCTATCACACTATTATTGGTAACGAGCCGGGCGCCTATGATGCCTACACCAGCGATGGCCATCAGATATTGCAGCTGATGCCCGCCTCGCTGTTCGCGCCATATGCCCCACTCTCGCCCTATTCGGTGGCCGCACAGCGTTCGCCGCAGGAGGGCGACTTGCCGCCGGTTCATACGCTGACCAATGCGTTGCAGGCACAGCAGGAGGCGCAGCAGCAACAGCATCAACACCAGCAACAGCACCAGCAGCATACGACTTTAACGCTGCTGGCCACGCCCACACCGTATTCGCCCACAGTAAGCAGCTCGCGTGCAACACCAGCCCTTGAGCTGGACATGGTGTCGCTGATGGCACAACAGCAGCAGCAGCAGCAACAGCAGCAGGAATATGAGCAATATCAGCTGCAGCAGCAGCAACTTGAACAGCAGCAGCATCAGCTCGAGCAGCAACAACTCGAACAGCTGCAGCAGCAACAGCAGCAGCAGCTGCAACAAACTGTTGCCGTGCTGCCCAAAAAGCGACGTGCTGCTGCCGCACTGTCAACAACAACAGCATCAGGAATAGGAGCAACACAGCCGGCGAGCAAGAGACGTCGCAACAGCAGCATCGGTTCGACATCGCCGCACTCGACAACATTGCCATCGGGTCGCATCAAGTGCCTGGAATGCGACAAGGAGTTCACCAAGAACTGTTATCTCACACAGCACAACAAGAGCTTCCACTCCGGTGAGTATCCATATCGTTGCCAGAAGTGCGGCAAGCGTTTCCAGTGCGAGGAGATCTACACCACGCACCTGGGCAGGCATCGCACCCAAGACAAGCCGCACAAGTGCGAGCTGTGCCCCAAGCAATTCCATCACAAGACCGACTTGCGGCGCCACGTGGAGGCCATCCACACGGGCCTCAAGCAGCACATGTGCGATATATGCGAGAAGGGCTTCTGTCGCAAGGATCATCTGCGCAAGCATCTCGAAACGCACAATCGCCCGCGTGTTGTTGGCAAAAAGGCGGCAGCTGTTGCCGCCGCAAAGGCTACGGCAGCGGCGGCGGCAGCAACAGCCGCCGCAGCAGCTGCAGCAGCAGCAGCAGCAACAACAACAATAATTAGTTGCATGCAACCAGACAATAATAAGCTGGACGATGTGGCCGCTGACGATGATAGTTTGCTAGACGACGATGACGATGACGATAATGATGCACAGCAGCAGCAGCAGCAGCAACTGTTGCTGAGCGGGGAGCATCATTTGATCAAGAACGAATTTGTTGATATTAAGCATGAGTACGAGGAGGAGTTTACGGAGGACTTTCAAATTATTGAAAAGGACATTGAAATGTATTGAACGCAGGGGGGCACGGGCTGGGGCATAGCTATATAGAGCAGGGCTGGGTAGGGGGGGGGGTGGGTGGGGCTTTGGATGGGTCTTGGGTCTTAGAAGGGCTGGGGCTTGTCTGCAAATGCTCGAGGCTTTGATAGGCTTATTTCATTTCATTTCATGTCCTAGCACAAAACTTTTGGTAACAACTTTTTATTGCACCAGCTGCAATAAATTGTTATTAATTTGTTTTTATTTTGTGACATTTTTGAAAGTTTCTTACTTTACTTGTGTTGTAACAAATTTGTATTGCACTTGCAGCAATAAATTGTTGTTCGCCTTTTTTTTTCTTTTTTTTTTTTGCATTATTTCATAATCAAAGCCTTTAGCCTTTGCAGACACGCCCACTCAGCACAGCTGTAATTAACAAAACTTTTGCCATATATGAGAAGGAAAAACAAAAAAAAAAAAAAAACACTGAAATATTCAACTATATAAATATATATAGATATATATATATATCTATTTTTTGTATTCGAAATTCCTAATTGTTGTAGCAGCAAATTTAATTTAATGACAAACAAATTTATGTTAAATTGTATTATTATTATTAATTATGAATTAATTATTGTATTATTTCTTGTCTTAGTATATTTTGTATTTTTTTTTTTTTTTGTTTCTATAATTAAGTTTTAAGGCCGCGCATACCTCAAAGACGAGTAGAGAAAAGAAAAGAATCGAAAAGAAAAAACGCTTAAAGAATGCAACACGAAAACACAAATCAGGGCAGAACCATATATCTATATGTCTATATATCACTCTCTCTCTCTCTCTCTATATATATATATATATGTATATGATAACTGTAACATTTTAGGCAACTATCGTATGTCGATCTACAGAGATCTGTTAGCGCACAATTTAGTTGATTGTTTTTTTTTTTTTTTTTTTTTTAATTAATTAAATTAAATTAGTTGCTGTTTTTCTGTCAGCCTGTAAACCATAAACACACGAATGCCATATATAAATATGTAATGCCAATTGATATAAAGCTATATCCTATATATATATATATATATACAAACATAGGTAACACTAGCCTACAAAACGCCAAATTGTCAGCAGAAAGAGAAAACAAAACAAAAACGCAAATATCAGGGATAATATTTACACTTAACAGTTACAATTCTTATATAGACACAGACGTACATATATATATATATATATATATATATATATTACTTGACTATATATATATATAAATATATATATGTAGAAATTGCGTATTATATATATTTATTATGATTAATTTTTAATTTATGCATTTCTTTTGTAAGCCACAAAAATAAACGAAAAATAATCCATTTATATTTATAATTTTTTTCGTTTTAATTTGTTCATAAGTTAAAAAATTGATAATGTTTTATAATTTGCTTTAACGTAATACTCAAAAAAAAAAAAAAAAACAAACAAACAAAACAAAACAAAAAGAAATACAAAATTTGCCATTAGCTTTATGTTTTCATGTTGAAACCCAATTTTTTATGCACAAAACAAAAAACTTCCTTAAAATGTGCTCCATATTTTTATATAGTTTATACACATACATTATTTCTTATTATGAAATTTATATAAATATATCTTTTTTTTTTTGTGTGTGTATGTGTGTGTGTGTAACTAGCGCAACCAATTTTTTAACTATATATATATATTTAGATATTATAATTAAAAAGAGCGCAAAACAAAACAAAACAAAAAAGACAAAGAAAAAAGGAATGCGCGAAGAGGCAGAACGGAAGAAAGAAGCAGACGCGTACCAAACCAAGATCTATAAAAAAGCAAAATAAATTATTGAAAATGTTTCAAACCAAAAAAAAAAATTAAACTTGATTATTTTTCTTATTTCCTTTGTTTATTTCTTATATATTATTTTGTTTCAGTTAATTATAAATATTGTTTGTGATTTTTATTTACAGTTTTTGGGTTTTATTTCTAAAGGAACAGAACAAGTCCCCATTTATCAAAGTTTCAAGTTCAAGTGTGCCGTCTTTATATATATATATATATATATATATATATATGGAAGAAAATCATGTTAAGCTAGAGAAAAGAATTATGTTAACAAGCCGAAACTTTTAGATATTAGCCAGATTTATTAAAGGGCTTTTAGATAAGTATAACTGGCCGATTCGGCTGAGCTACAAAACGAAAGCTCTATATATATTTATATAGCTATAGATATGGTATATATGTATTGGTCGAGATATAGATATATATACAAAGGTGTATATATATGTATAGGCATATACTTATATAGTTTATATAGTAAGTTGTATATATATGTCTATATGTAGGCGAAGGTATAGCTATATATATATGTAGCTACACACATATATGTGCCTGTATCTATATATAGATATATGCACACACTTGTGTAGAAAGTAAGGGCATTTAAAAGTCGCTCAGCTGCGCATCGTGCGCTGAACTTCTTGTTAATTTTGTTAATTATTTTTGTGGAAATTTATTTTTGCTTTTTGGTTGTTGCTGCTGCTAGTTCCACAGAAACTACGTGCGTGTGTTTAAATATTATTTTATTTTTTTTTTTTTTTTGCTTTTTGTTTTTTTCTCGAGTGAAGAGGCCGCATATGAAAGTCGAGACGCAGGCAAATTGTGGCAAGCCGAATTTTAGCGACGCGCCGTTGATTGTGTCCAAGAGAAAGACATGTGCACGTGTAAGCACACATACACACATGTGTGTTTGTGTGTGTGCATTTATAGATAGTTATATATATATGTATATATGCCTATATATATGGCGAATTCGGTTCCGACAACAACAACATGGGGCATAAGACAGCTGCAGCCAAAAGCTTGAGATAGTTTGCTAGCTAGGCTCTAGATCATAAACATATATCTATATATATATATATATATATATCTTTTTGTACATCTCTGGTAACTGGCCGTGCGCTTTATGGCGACATCTAAGTGCCTCGGCAACAAATCATAAGCAGCAAGCAAAGTATCTATGTATCTGTATCTGGCAAATGCCAAAAAAAGAAAGAAAGAAATGAAATGAAAAAACATGAAAACCAAAGACAACGCCAGCAACATAACACGCACACATGTTGCCAGCTGCCTGTCTGTGTGTGTGTGTGTGTGTGTGCAGGAACAGCAGTAAATAGCCAAAAAAAAGTATATACACACACACACAGGCGCAGCAAAGACAAAGTAGAAGAGACAAACGAAAAGTGCGCGCCACAGCAAGCGGCAGCAGAAGCAGCAGCACGAAGCACGCTGCGAGCAGCGAGTGTATCTCAAAGATACGCAAACGCAAACAGCCAAACGACGCGACGCGACGCGACGCCGAAGTTGAAGTTGAAGTTGCGCGCCTGCGCAGCAGCGACGGCAGCAGCAACAACGTCTCCGACTATGGCTATGTCATCATAACATACGACGTCGTCGTTGTCGTTTGTACACTGCGCGAAAGAATCTACCACATAGTATTTACTTTCATTTAGCTGGGCTAGAAGGCTAGAACGACGTTTTAAATTTTACCAAGAACTAATCTGACTGGCAAATCTGTATATAAGCCCTCCAACATATTTAGTTTTATCTTTGAGCAAGGAATAAGCAAACAGTACCCAGAAGTTCGAACCTTGTCCTTTGCTCTATGCTGGCACACTCGCCTCTCTTATATTCATTTATCTATTCAAGAACTAGGCTAACTATCATATCTATATAAAACATTTAAATAGCACATAGTTAATATGATCTTAAAGCAATCAAGCATAGGGGTTCGAACCCTATCTTTCCCTCGATTCTCTTATATCCATTTATCTATTATTACCAGCAACTAATCATATCTATATAAATCCTTTAAATCTTGCGGCTTGAACCGCGGCTTTCGCTCTATGCTAGCACAATCTGTTTCCATATAGAGCTCATGTTCACAAACAATCAATATATCTGTATCTATATATCTATATCTATACATATATGTATATATCCATATCCATATAAACCCTTTAAATAGCACAGATTTAGCTTGGTTTCCACAGCGAAGGGTCTCGAACTCCGCCTTTCGTTTATCTCCTGCCCTACTAACACTTCTTTGACCAAGTGCCACAAATTTCGTTCAGTGTATTCGTATCTGTGAATTTCTACTTGCTGCTGACGCTGCTTCTGCCCTTTGGCTGTTGTTGTTGTTGCCGCGTTTGTTCTCGCTGTGCGTTTTTCTTACGCGGTTTGTTTGTTGAACATCAAACTGGTTTCCTGTACATATGCTCATCCAGCAACAACAACAACAACCATCTGTAATTTTAATTTTTCGGCAAGGCAGAGATTTCGATCGACGACGACGTCGCTGCCCAGGTAGAAATTGTGTACCTTTATATTGTTTGCTTGCGCTGC